AGGGAACTCCGGCCCCGCGGGTGGGAAGCGGCGTCCCTGCGTGTCCGCGGAGCACAACGCCCACGTGTCGCAGAGCAGGTGGGGAGCGGGGTCCCGGCCCTGCCCGCACCCCAAGGTGCACCCCGCAGTGACCTTGCGGCTGGTTTCCAGGGGACGGGCTGGTCACCCCCTCTACCCCAGATCCCGAGCTGGGCACTTAGAGCTCCCTGGTGGCACCCGGGTCACTGCTGGGTGGGAGGAAAGTTTGGCCAGGCCCGGGCTGACCGTCACATCCCCGCTTCCCCGGCTCTGAGCACTCAGGGTCCCCCCCTTCGCCCCGCTGCCACGTGGGAATGAACCCCCATGCTCCGGTCCGGGTGGCTTAGGCAGAGCCCTACGTCTGAGAGGGGGCGAGGAAACGGCCAAGGGACAGAAGGAAAGTTTGGGATGTGGGAGCGAGGGGCGCCCTGGAGCACCCCAGCCGGCAGGTGGAACCGGCCCAGAAGCAGCCCGGGCCCCTGGGTCCCCCTCCTTTCCTTCTCCTCCTGCAGACCTCCCCCGGGCCTCACTGCCAGCTGAACCCATTTCTGACGCCTCCGGGTTCCCTTTCTCGAAGCAATAATTTGCTTTTCTAATTGCAAGGAGGAGGGAGGTGGAAACATTTCCTTCCAGGGATACGGGTCGGTGTTTTCCATTTTGTCCCCCTCCTCTTTCCGTGCGTACCTCACCCTTCCAGCAGTCAGCTCCGGAGCCCTCAAGCCTGTGTCTGGACAGATGGCAGGAATAACGCTGTTCCCTGCTCAGCAGGCAGGGCTGCTGCCCCGGATTCCTTGACAGCCAGGGGACACAGGGCCCTGTGCCTGCCGGGCCTGAGCCTGAGCGGTGGCCACGCTGCCAAGGCCCTGTCCCGAGTGACCACATGGAACGTCTGCGTCCCAGCCAGCCCTGTGAAAGATGGCTTTTTGTTCGCAGCTGGGTATTTTTAGTTTCGTGTCAGCAAACTAGAGAGGTGTTGTCTCCTCACCCAAACCTGTGGTTGTGAAAGTTCTAAGGGAATTTAAAAATGGACCTTGCCTGCCTTTTCGTGGCCTGTGGTGGTTGCAGCGGGCGGGAGCAGACAGAGGGGCGTCTCGGAGTGCCAGGTCCCTTGCCAGACTCTGGGGGACGGGGAGTGTGCCCACATAGTGTGGCTCCAGCAGCTGAAACAAAGAGCCGGTGAGATGCTCTGAGTCTGGAGATCTGTCCAGACTTATTCAGGTTTGGCTGGGGCAGGGCCTGCCAGGTAACTGTGGGGATGAAGACCAGGAATAACACCAGCCGCAGCAGGAATGCCTTTTGCTAGGCTTACCTGTGAGTGGTCCAGTGAAATTCCCCTTTTGTGGATCCTGGGCCAGAGTTAGGCAGTAACTTTGTAGCCTCACGTATTGTGAAGAAAACTAGCAACTGGTAATTGGCACTTTGCTAGAATCTCCAGCTCTCTTTAGAATACTGACTCAGAGGTGGCTTTCTCACCGGATTTTCAGTCTAGCTGTTTGGAAGCGGTCAGATCCTCCTCCTCCTTCCGACCTTTCCTTTCCGGTCCTCTTTCCTCCCAAGAAATGGCATTTGTTTAGCATTCACACCTCTAAAGGATGATTTTGTGATATTTTTTTCCCAACCCATAGCAAATCCTACTTCCAGAACATTCCATTGCATGTGAAATTGCAGGTAGTGCAGTGGAAAAGTCTCCCTCATTTGAAATTACACGTCATTCCGCAAAACTCCGCATTAATAGTGGTTATTACATGGGGCATAAATATGCTTTTAAATCCATATTAAGCATTCTCTTTTTGGTTCATTTTGTTACACTTTGGACAGCTGATGTTAAATAATTTCTTCTACTGTTAAAGAGTTCCCTCCTTTGCTCGCTCCTCCCTCCCTCCCTTTCTTCCTCATTTGGGATTTAACACAGGGTCTTTGCACTGAGTTACATCCTCAGTTTACTTTCTTTCTTTCAAACTCGGGTCCTTGTTCTTGCAAGGCAGGTGGCGGAACCACTAATCTAAACCCCTGGCCCATCAACCCTTTTTTACTTTCTGTTTGAGAAAGGGTCTTGCTAAGTCTCTCAGGCTGCCCAGACTGGGCTTAAACTTGCCATCTTCCTGCCTCAGCCTCCTGGGGTGCTGGAATTAAGGTTCCTAACACCATATGTGAATTTCTTTAAAAGTTTTTTACAGCAGTATTTCTGTGACCCTTAGGGTAAAGATAGCTGAACCTTCAGACTGGCACTGCAGTTTATCCAGGTCACCGTGGGAAAGCAGAAGGGACCACAGCTGGGTAGATTGTGTTGCTTAAAATTTGGAGCCCCTGGCCAGTTATGGATCCCTGTTAGTGGGATGGAAAATAGCATTGCACAAGAAATGGACCCCAGGCGTCAGTGGTGTCTGGAGAGGGCGGGGAGGGAGAGACAATGGGACAGGACAGCTGGCAGGGGCTGGCCGCCCTCCCTCTGATTCTAATCGGGGGCCATTGTCCTCGGGTCTTTTCTAATCCTGTAGGTTTGGGTAATTTGTGAACTTGCGTAATTGGCTACCGTTACCAACTGAGAGTTTAGCAACTGCCTGCTTGTCAGTTAGGCAGTTTTCTTTAGAAATCTTTGACCCTCTGAGTTAAGAGTCTCCACTGAGTTTATTTTAGGGAAGGGACCCAGCTTTAGGCTCCCCTGGAACCCAGATGTTTGCACAGTTCTGGGCGCATAGTAGGTGCCGATTAGGAGGCTGCTAAAGCCAGAAGCAGAACCCTGTCTCCAGCCTGGCCGGCACCCCTGGCTCTAGTGGCTATGTCCCTCCCTTCCTGGACGCTGAGGTCCCCTGAGAGCGGACCAGAGCTTTCACCGCGTCCCAGACGTGACGTGCCCGAGGTGTCCTGCGTGCTGAGGGCCTACAGAAATCTGTGAGCCAGGCACACCTGCAGGCACGAGGGTCTCCTAAGGCCCTGAGATCTGGACTACACACCTGTGGCTTCTGTGCTCGTTGAGTCCCTCAGGGAAGGCTTGTTGTGAAAATTCTTCCCCTTGCATTAAAATGTCACGCATACCTGTCGCAGGTAGAGAGCAGCGGTGACTTTGATGGAGCTGTCACAGGCTGGGCTGAGCAGAGGCCCCCAGGGTGTGCCTAGCCCAGCAGAGCTCTCTGAACCTTCCTGTAGCTTTTGTTTAAAAGCTTCAGTTTGGGGAAGCAATGTCTGTCAGGAGGGGAACCTCCCCCCTCCGTCTTTTTTGCTACATATTTACCTTGTCACCCTGCAGGCTCCCTACTGAAAGAGGGTAGCCTGGGTGTAGCCTTTCCCGGTCGCCCCTTGCAGTTCTGCAGTGAGGTGGAATGTATGAGTAGATTCCTCGCAACCGTAGCATGTGCTCATTTTAGAAACTTTGGGATGGACACAAGAGAAGCAGTGCGTTGCTGTCTCGCTCAGGGCACTGGCTCCTTTTTTCTGTATTACAGTAGTGTATTCACAGGCTGGGCGGCCCTGGTCACAGCAATGCCACGAGTGGAAAATCCCATACCTGGCCTGGCATGATGGTTGCGCAGTAGAGCCCTTGGGTGCAAGGCCTCCCGGGTCCTCCCAGGGACTGCAAACAAAAGCAAAACAGAAACCAAGGGCAGGCGCATTGAGAGTGCTGTGCAGGGTCACTTTGGACTGTGAGCCAAATGAATTTCCTTTTTTAAATTTACTTTCTTTTCCTCTGATACTGGGAATGGAATTCAGGACCTGGGCTTGCCAGGCAGGCACGG